CTCTAACTGCTGAGCCAAACTGGCCAGGGCGATGGCATCATTCTTTAAATCATAAAATACCAAGAGAAGATACTGTTTTGTGCTATTTTTCTAAATATAAAAATAGGCATCTTATAAATCTTTATACTATTTTTGTTCCTTCATTACCTATTCTTGCGGCCCAGGATAGATCAATGTTTCTCAGAGTTTGACTTCTGGAAGTGGTGAACTAGTTTGAGCAGACCAATTAATTATCCCACTGAAAATAACTAGAAAGCCTAGATAAAATACAAATGTGCACATTAGAAAGCTTCCATGAACTCAAGGGGTCAATAAGCCAAAAAGGAGGAAGATTCATTGATAGGAGCTCTGCACTTTAATCCCATCATCCCCTAAGGCATTTGTTAATTCTTACGCAATCACAGAAAGGGTGAGAACATAGCAGAAAGCAGATGCTCAGAGCCTTTCAGTAATTTTCCCAGGGCTGGGAAGACAAAATGATGAGTTCAGGGCTTCTGAAACCGCCAGGACCTGAGGTGTCAGAGAGAAGGCTTGTGAAGTATAGTGAGTCTATACCTCATCTGATCTGCTTGTCCCTCAAAGCATTCTCTTAGCTGTGCGTGCTGAGATAAGGTGAGCAAAAAGTGGTAGCCACATGACCTTGGCCGAGCAGCTAAAGAGAGCTTTCAAGCAGTTTCATAGTGTAAAATTAAAAATGAAATTCAGGGACCCACATAAACTTTCTGAGATTTAAATAAAATCCCCTCTAGAAATAAAAAATCAAAAATCTGGAAATAGATAAAATTTTACAAAGACTGAAAACTTGTGTCAAAATAACTCACGATGATCTGTCCTATTCTAATTGGATGCCAGAACTAAAGATTCTCTTGGGTCTCTGTAGGTTTTCACAATACAGTGTCCAGCATTCAGTCAAAAAACACCAATCACACAAATGCCCAGGCAATAAAAACAGACTCTGAGGCAATCCAGATATTGGAGTTATTTAATACAGATAAAAAATAACTATGACTAATATAACTCAGTAAAACAGATGACAAGATGGTGGGTTCACAGATAAGTGGAATCCATAAAAAAGAATCAAATGGAAATTTTAGGATTAAAAAGCACAACGATTGTAATTTAGTATAAAACAGAGTATTAACTACAGCTGAAGAGAATAAGTTATCTGAAATTTGGTCAGTATAAAATCTTTGGATAAAAGCGAAAGAAATCAAAGAATGAAAAATAAAAAGATTTATAAGAAACATATAGGACACAGTAGATCTAAGATGTAAAACTGAAAAAGAGGGAAGAGATACAATGGTGCAGAATCAATATTTAAAGAAATAGCCTAGAATTTTCCAAAATGTACAACAAATTAAGCCATAGGTTCAAATATCACTATAAACCCTATGAATAATACATGCAGTAAAAATACATCCAGGCACATCATTGTAAATCTGCTGAAATAAAAAGACACAGAGAAATTCTTAACGGTGCCAGAGGGGAAAAAAGACACATTACTATTAAAGAAATAGCAAGAACACTTACAGTGACAGCAGACTTTTTAAAATCAAAATGAAAGAAGACAATAGAAAGTTGTCTTTAAAACCCAAAGAAAATAGCTGTTAACCTAGAATTCTATACTTAGTAAAAATATATTTCAGACTGGCCAGTATGGCTCAGTGGATTGAGCATCGTCCCATGGATTAAGATGTCATGGTTCAATTCCTGATAAGGGCAGTGCCCTGGTTGCAGGCTCAATCCCCAGTAGGGGGCGTGCAGGAAGCAGCCAGTTGATGTTTCTCACATCAGTTTCTATTTCTCCCTTCTTCTCTCTCTAAAAACTCAATAAAAACATAAAAAAAATATATTTTTAAAAAATAAAATAAATAATTTGTAGACAAAGGAAACTTGATAATACATCTAACACGTCCACATTAAAAGCTAAAAGGAATTTTTTAGTCAGAGTATACTGTCAGTTGGAAGCATTAAGAATGCATAATAGAATAAAGATGTACGGTAAGGGAACTATATATGGGTAAATCTAAATGTATATTAGCTGTATAAAGCAATAACTATAATGTTTTGTGACATTTAAAATAAATGTAAAATTAAAATTCATGATGAAAATAATATATAAAAGATAGTAAGTGGGATTAAGTATTATCCTGTCTTTGTAATTTCCAAGAAGTAGTAAAAGTACTAATTTATATTTAATTATAATAAATCTAGCATGTATAATGTAATCTGTAATATAACTATTAAGGTAATATTAAAAATTAGCAATCTAAGATTGAAAAGCGGAATATAAAAAAATAAAAAATAAAAAAAAAACCACCCTGACTAATCCAATTAAGGGGATGGAGAAAATTTAGGCAAATAAAAAACAAATAGTAAGAGAGCAGATATAAGCCCAGCTATATTGCTAATTATACTTAATGTAAATGGATTGAATAATCTAATTAAAAGACAAAAAGGTAGAATGAATTTAAAATATGTCCTTATACCTAAGAATATACTGCCTAAAAAAGATACATTAAATATAATGCACAGAAAAGTTGAAAGTTTAAGAATGAAAAATGATATACCACAAAACATTAACCAAAATAAAGTTTGTATGATTATGTTAATATTGGACAAAGTTCATTTACAGTAAGAAAAAATACTACAGATACAGGGAAATATTTTAAAACAATAAAGGTTTCAGTCCACCAGAAAGATATAACAATTTAGTGTTTATGAACTTAATAACATAGTTTTGAAATATATAAAGCAAAATTCACAGCTCTATTAAGGAATAAATCCCTCACCAACACAGTGGGGGACATTAACACACCACGTTAGAAATTGATAGACCAAACAAAGATCAGTTGCTGAGGAGAAAATTTTGTCACACAACTGTCTTCGTAGGAGGCAGCACACAGCAGCTGCATGATACACATTCCTCTCAAGTCCCAAATGAAATAGTCACCCAAATGGGCCGTGTTTGATAAAGTAGGCTCGTTACATTTCACAAAACTTAAATCACACGGAGTACATTATTACTTGTTTAAACATTTTTTCCAACCTATAATATGTTCTAGGGGATCACTCTGGTACCCAGGGTGGTAGTGTCCATAAGAACCACTTGTGCTTCTTACCTTGGGGGGTTAAATCTCCATGGAGCACCTTTCCAATTAGACTCTGGACCCAGAAGATGGCTTACTTCCAGTTCAGAAGAATGTCTTTACCACTAACTACCTGTAAGTCAATTTATCACTTGATATTTCTTAGCTAATACTAATACTTATGTTTTTGTTAATAATTTAATTCTTCAAGTATATGTCAAGCCCCCTGAGAGTAGCTACTGTACATCCCCTATAGCATTCAGCAGTGGGCTGGACACTTGACTCTTGGTGACATTGAGAGCAACATTTGACATGGCTGTTTTTTATATTATCACTGAGAGGAGACATTTTGATGCAAACTCTTAAATCCTTAAAGTTTCAGTGTAAAAGTAACTGTAACCAGCGATCCTGTGAGGTGAGGAATGGAGAGAGGGAGAGGGAGGGGCCAAGTCAGTGATGTTTTTGTATTCTGTTTCAGCTAGGTGAGTCCTGCTCTGTCAAAGTTCCCCTGGGGACAAACACTGAAAGGTGCTGCCTGGAAACAATGTTACTAACGATTGGATTATCTAGCAGGAAGATCCCAGCCTGTGACGAGCATTGGGTCTACTAGACATGGACCATGTGGTGGTGTGACGATGAGAGACACTTAATATCTGTTTGTGGAGATGACACCTCCCTCCCAGCAAGCCCTGTGGTGAAGGTTCAGTGGCATTATGGGCATGGAAACCATTTACAAATCACAAAGCATTCTAAAAATATTCTGTGAGATTCAAGCACAAAACAGAAAAATTAAAACTATATGCACAAAACCAGAAAAACAACACGGAAATATCCATTTATTGATAGAGGGGATGCAGAATGGTGTTGTAGAAATAGCATAGTGCAGAAAAACCAGAGATATTTGCATTCTGCCCTGCCACCGACTTACTTGGTGACTAGCAAGTCTAGTGAGAACCTCTCTCTGACTCAGTTTCCCTCCTCTAGGATCACAAGGTTGGCTTCAAGGTCTCAATTCTCTGATTCCAATGCCCTAGTCCTCTGTTTTACAGTGAACTTGATGACATCAGGGAAAAAAGATAGAATTCTCTCGAGAAGAGTATATAGCCAGCAATACAAACAAAATGGTTTAGTTTAATTTACTTTCCAACTGCCTTTAAAAATGTTTTAGATCGAATACCAATTGATTGCTATGACTATACCTTGGGACAGAAGTTCTCTATCCAGGGTTGTTCTAAGACATGCTTCATGAGCTTCTCCAGACCTGCCTTTCTGAAGAAATGAGACAACCACTTTGTTCTCAGTAATCTTCCCAACCTGGCTACCTCACGAGTCAAGCAGAAGAATAGCCTGTCCACAGTCAGATGGGTCTGGACTAAAACACTTGGTGCGAGATATATTCTGCCCCCCCACCCCCAGAAAATGCTGTCGGCTGGATACCCCACTTGGAATATGCTTTTACCTCCCATACCACAGAGACCCAGAATGTGTTTCTCAAGCCTGGTGAGCATTATGGTGCGATGCAACGGTATGTGTTTTGTACACGTGTGTGTACTTTGAGATGCAGCAGCAGCAGGGGGAAGCGGACTATCAGGCTTTCGTGGACAGAATTCTCAGAATATCTGGGGATACGTTTCCTTAAACCTTATCCTGTTAAAATAGAAGAACTTTTCGTTGCTCTTCTTTTCAGACTCAATACATTTTTTGTTTCTTGTTTTCCTTTTTGTTAAAAAACTAAACAAAAACAACAACACACAAATGAAAAGAAAGCTACATATCCTAATGTTGAAATAAATGAACTCTACTTGGGAATACATGGATAAAAGAATGTTCCTTCTCCTGAATGGTTAACAATACATACATATGTGTATACATATGTTCTTTATTCCTAATAATGGGTGGATGGTTATGTTCTCATTCAGTCAGAATTTCTTGCTTTACGGAGATCTCTCGGAGTTTATGGTCGTGCTGACCACTCTCTGCTCTTCGAGCCTCCTTCGTCTTCTTCAATTTACGGGAAAGATTTCCTGTTTGGAGAAAGAATTTTGAGAAATTTGAGGTGTTCGACTCATTCCGTGAGCATGCATGTCAGCTCTTCTGGTGGGCATCCCATACTGTAGAGACTAGAGAAGCCTGAAACCATCTTCAAGCATCCCTGGTGTTGCGTGAACTGGAAGGAGATGGTGAGAAGAGAAAGTCCTGGGTGGGGGGAAGAAGCCAGTTGGGAACATTCCCCAGTTAAGGGGCAGACAACACCTTGGAGATGCTCAGAGGATGTTACAGATGCAATACAAAAACATCACAGCGGTCAACACAAACATAGGTGTTATGACATGGAGGGAAAAGTGGAAGTGTGGGTCTAGGGAGGTTGGCAGTGAGTGAGGTGGAGAAGAAAGAACTGGAGGTCCCTGCGGGAGGGAGAGGCCCAGATGGAGGAGGAGCCAGCAGAAAGGTGGGAAGAGAGAAGACAGAGAGGAGAATCTGGCGGGCCAGGCTGTAACCTGCTTGCCCCAGTTAGTCTGTTTCATTCTGTGTCTCATTTCCAATGTGTTCTGCCTCAAAACCCAGGTTGGGGCTTCTCTGAACTTGGTGGCATTGGGTGGTCCCCTTCTCCCCTTTTCTGTCCAAGCATTGCCCCAAGCCCTATACACCTCACTGCCATTCAAGGAGCTTCTGTTGTCTGTCCTCAAATATGTAGGTGCTGGGGTAACTTACAGGAGCAAATGGTGAGGCCCCTGTCTTTAGTCATTTGGACTACAGGATGATTTATTGTTCTCATGTCAGGACACTCAATCCCAGGCACCTGGGTATTCGGCATAGTCTCCCTTGAAATCTGCATCAGAGCAGCAGAAATTGGCTGGATGACAGTACAGTTGGTAAGTCTGCAGCAGGTTGAGCCACCACTACCTTCCCTTTCTACCTCTGCTTGTGTTAAACTGGTCCTACTGTGGGAGGGGGTGCAGACCTTGGGGCCTGAGATTTTGTGGCCCCAGGGCTGGCTCTGGCCCTGCAAAGTCTGAGATGGGGAGCATCCTACTTCAGAGCAGCTCCTTGCCTGTGCCTGATGACAACCTGTACAACTGACAGGTGTCTAGTATGTGCCTGAGACTCCATCCTCATTGGCATTTAAAGGACAAGATGGCAGGCTTGCCTCATTGAAGATGATCAGGGGTTTGGAGGAGCAGCTGATTGGAAGAGTCAGGACCCAGGAGTTTCCCAACAGGCTGGAACAATGAGACACAGATGACCCTCCCTTGTAATGTAAGCTCCACGAGGGCAGGGGTCTCTGTGTCTATGGTGATGAATCCCGAGAACTGAGAACAGTGCCTGGTGCATGGTAGGTGCTCAGTAAACATTAAAGGTTGATGCCTGGCTGGTCTGGCTCAGTGGTTGAGCGTCGACCCATGCCCCAAGAGGTCGCTGGTTCAATTCCCGGTCAGAGTACATGCCCAGGTTGTGGGCCCAATCCCCCGTGGGGGGCATGCAGGAGGTGGCCAATCAATGTTCTCGCTCATCAATGCTTCTATCTCTCTCTCTCCCTCTTCCTTCCTTTCTCTCTAAAATCAATAATAAAAAGTTCAATAGTTAAAAAAAACAATTAAGGTGACCAAGCTTAAATGTTTGGTCCTGCACTTGGATCTACAAAAGCCAACTGCATGTGGCTTAGCAAGAGCACATTTACCAAATCCTTAGACGTTTTCAATAACATTAGCTTGAAAGTAACGGTGTGATGTGTCCCCAGAACCAATGCCGCCTTAGGGTGTGTGGACAGATGAGTGGGATGTAGAATGCTGGAGGTATTGAACTGTCAATGTGACCACAGAGTCTAACTCAGAGAGGCCGAGAGGACGGGAGGAGGACTGGCCTGGAGAAAAGGCTCACAGATGTTCTGGAAAGTTACAGGGAGAAGCGTAGAGCCAGGGGCAGAAGCCACAGGGGAAATGCAGGAGGTGGCCAATCAATGTTCTCTCTCATCAATGTTTCTATCTCTCTCTCTCTCTCTTCCTTCCGTTCTCTCTAAAATCAATAATAAAAAAAGAAGCCCCAGGGGCAGAAGCCACAGGGGAAATGCGTGGACCTTCAGCAGTTAGAAAGTCATACCAGAAAAGGCAGTGGGAAGGGCAGGAGGTAAGGGGACCCCACGGATATGAGAATCAGCCCCAGGTGGGAGGTCGTCTGCAGTAAGGGGCAGGTCTGACAGGTGGTTTGGGGCCTTCCTGGGTCTGGTCACAAGGGCAGCAACCGCTGTCGTGTGTGTGTGACAGCAGCCCCACCTGTCCCAGTTCTTACTGGGAAAGAGGGACAACCTCTTGCTCAATTTGGCTGAGAAAGAGAGGATACCCCCAAACGTGGCCATGACTCCTTGAATCTGGACTGTTGGGCCAGGTGTCCCCACATTGACAACCACCAGGAACCTCCTGTGGCGCTCCCAGCTGGTCTACCCCGGGACTGAGTCACCTGCTCTTTCAGAGAGCTGTTCACAAGGCACATGCGTCTTCTGAGTAGAGGTTTTACTTCTCTTCATACCAGGATAATAATCCCAGAACCAGGAGCCACTTATCTATTGTTCCAGTTTACCTGAAAATTTTCCAATTTTTTTGAGGATTTTGTCCAGAATTGATAAATGTTCATGGTGATTAATTTTTGAGTTATTTTTTTCTGTGGGGGAAAAAGATAAGTACAGTGATCAGGATTTGGTAAATAATTAAGGCATAATTCAAACGTTTTTTTCTTTTCAACTTCTGAGGATGCAGCATCCTGTTCACAGAGTATGTGATGGTCGCACAGCCTCAGGTGAGGCCCTCAGAACATCCTTGCCTTCCTGAGTCCAGAGCCAAGAACGTGTGGCCTGTGCTATGGCCTGGGTGGAGACGTACACACTCACACTCTCTCTACACTCCGAGGATACACCAGCGCGGAACCCTTTGTCAGTCAGGTGTAGGAGGGGCCCCTCGTTCCTCGTGGTGGGCACTGGTTCTTCCTGATTGTTTAGACCCTGTCCCTGCACCTGGACACATCTCACACGACACTTCACTCTTCAAAGTGGGTCATTTCCCCTCCTGCCTCCTGTCAAGCCCTTTCTGTCAATAATGGTGAGGAACCGGTCCTGCTGCCAGGGAAGAGGGGCAGAGTGGGGCTTGCACCTGGCCTGCCCCAGGCCGACGCCAGGCTGGCGGAGTCAGGGTGGCGGTGGGCTCATGTCATAGTCAGAGTCACTCCTTCTCTGGGTACGACCCTCACGGTGCCCGCAGCGCATTCTCATCCTTCTGCCTCCCTACCCTCCTGCTCTCAAAGGGGATCAAGAAGACCCAGCTCCTTCCAGTTTTCCCAGAACTCCATCGGAGGACAACTTGGAACCCTGAAGAAATACCTTTAAGTTTAGCACATTTATATTTGTTGTACACGTGAAAAATAACTCGTTGGGTCTTCTATTGGTCTGTGGGTTCTTGGACTAGAACAACCCCTGTTCACCTGTCAGCACTTAGGGGCTCAATAGATATTGAGTGAGTGAATGAATCTTTTATTAAAGCTAATGTCAATAGGAAATGAATGATTATGGCATTAAATTACATATGCCTCACGAGACACTTAGATTTTAACACAGCGCAAAATCTTAAACTAGAATTTAGGCACAGTCAAGATCTCAGCAATAGGGTTACAGACACAGAGGACTTTTCAGATATGCTGGGAAGCACACAGAGGAAGTTTGCTATTTCAGCAACAAGAAGGGGAAGGCGTTTGCAGATACAATTTCCTTCAGGCTGCTTCAGGCTTTTATTTATTTATTTTAATTAATTTATTTTTGTTACAGATGTTTCTCCTTTTTCCCCCAGTGATTCCCCCCTCCTTCCCACCCTGTCCCCAGCTTTGTTGTCCATGTCGATTGTTCATGCACACATGCATATAAGCTCTGTGGTTTATCTCTCCCTCACCACCCCCTCTTCTGGGGATTGTCAGTCTGTAACTCACTTCCATGTCTCTGGGACTACCCCATTACTCAGACTATTATGTTCATTATATTCCACAAATAAGTGAGATCATGTGATATTTGGCCTTCTCTGCTTGGCTTGTTTCGCTTAGGATAATACTTTCCAGGTCCCTCCGTGTCATCTCAAAGGATAAGAGATCTTTCTTTCTTACAGCTGCATAGTACTCCATTGTGTATATGTACCACAGCTTTTTTATCCATTGCTTCAGTCTTTTAAAATATTAATCTAACTTATTTAAAGGTATCAATTTTATATTTTTAAAAAGTATTAGAGGGCATAGGTAAATGTGGTATCTTGTCCTCCCACAACCACATCAAAGTTACAACTAAACTACAGAACAACCTTCATTCAAAACCTCCTGAAATCAAGCTGAATGGAAGTCCTACAACTACGGAATTAAAGCAGCAGCTGCATCGAGACTGGTAGGAGGGGCAGAGGCGGACGGGCTGGTCCCACACCCACGTGTGGTGGATAAAAATCAGGAGGAAACCTTGACTGGGAAGGTCCTCCCTGAAAACTGAGGGGTTCCTGCCCCATTCCAGATGCCCCGCTCAGGGTTCCAGCGCCAGGAAGAGAATCCCCATAACTTCTGGCTGGAAAAACCAGTGGGAACGGAGGCTCAGAGAAGCTGACGCAGCTGGAGCCCCAGGCAGCTCCTTAAAGGGCACACACACAAACTTATGGGACTTACTCCCTCTAAGCTTGGAGAAGAGGCAGCTTGAGGGGCACCAGAGACATACAGGGAAGAACTGAGCTGTTTGGCACTGGAGCGAGGGCTGGAGAGGGGGCTTTCTCCGAGACAAACATGCTGTCAGAGGCCTTTGTTCCTTTGGTGAGCCCTTCCCTGGGGCGGCAGAGAGTCACCATATCTGGGACTCCAGCAACGTGGCTCACACTGGTAGCCCCACCCTGCTGACTCCCTGAGGCCCCACCCCACCCAACTTTCAGGCCCACCCAAGCTGTTGCCACTTGCTTTACCATGAGATTGCCTGTCTTGGATCCTGCCTCGAGTTTTCCTAAATTTTTTCAAACAAGCAGCATCTGGTCTCAGCTAGCCCCATACCGCTCGTTAAGTAATACACAGAAACAAACACAGGGAGGCAGCCAAAATGAGGAGACAAAGAAACAGGTCCCAAGTGAAAGAACAGAACAAAACCCCAAGAAAAGAACTGAACGAAATGGAGATAAGCAACCTAACAGATACTGAGTTCAAAATACTGCTTATAAGGATGCTCAGTGAACTTAGTGAGAACCTCGGTGAACTTAGTGAGGGCCTCAAGAGCATAAAAAAGGACCAGTCAGAAATGATGGATGCACAGTCAGAATTCAAGGAGGCATTAACTGAAATAAAGAATAATTTACACAGATTCAATAGTAGAGTAGGTAAATCCAAGAAGGAAACCATTGATTTGGATTATAAAGAAGCAAAAAACGCCCAATCAGAACAGCAAAAAGAAAAAAGAATCCAAAAAAATGAGGATAGTGTAAGGAGCCTCTGGGACAACTTCAAGCATGCCAACATCTTAGGGGTGCCAGAAGGAGAAGAGTGAGAACAAGAAATGGAAAACCTATTTGAAACAATAATGGCAGGAAACTTCCCTAACTTGGTGAAGGAAACAGACATACAAGTCCAGGGAGCACAAAGAGTCCCAAACAAGATGAACCCCAAGAAGCCCACACCAAGACGCATCATCATCAAAATGCAAAAGGTTCAAGACAAAAAGAGAATCTTAAAAGCAGCAAGAGAAAAGTAGTTAGTTACCTACAAAGGTGCTCCCATAAAACTGTCAGCTGATTTCTCAAAAGAAACTTTGCAGGCCAGAAAGGAATGGCAAGAAATATTCAGAGTGATGAAAAGCAAGAACCTACGACCAAGATTACTCTGTCCTGCAAAGCTGTCATTCAGAATTGATGGCCATATAAAAAGTTTCCCAGACAAGAAAAAGTTAAAGGAGTTCATCACCACCAAACTATTATTATATGAAATGATGAAGGGTCTTTTTGAAGAAAAAGATAAAATATATGAACAAACAAAATGGCAATGAATACATATCTATCAACAATGGAATCTACAAACAAAATGAATGGGCAGAACAGAAACATTCTCACAGATACAGAAAATATTTTGTTGGTTGCCAGAAGGAAGGGGGTTTGGGGGAATGGGCGAAAAAGGTGAAGGGATTAAGAAGTACAAATTCATTGCTAGACTGACAAACCTCAAAGGGAAAGGAGTTGGGGGAGTGGGAAGAAATAAACCAAAGAACTTATATGCATAACCAATGGAAACAGACAATAGTGTGGGAAAAGGCAGGAGAGGGCGGGAGTGGGGAGGAGGGGGGTCAATGGGGGAAAAATGAGGATCATCTGTAATACATTCAACAATAAAGATTAAAAAAAAAAAGTATTAGAAGCCCATAGTATAATTTTAAAATTGAAAACAAAGTCCATCTGTGAAAAGTAAAGCTGTCTCCAATAGCTGACCCCTCATTTCCAGTTGCCTCCTAGAGGCCACAATTGTTACCCAATTCTTGTGTTCTTTCAGTATACACTATACCATCAAGATTGTTGCCAACATCCTATTTTCACCGAGCCACGTTTATATTTTTTAGAGGACATTGCTTAGAAAATTTTGGTAGATCATTCGGGCAGATAAATCAAATAATTGATTTATAGAAACATATAATTCATCAGTAAATATAAACAATTTGCATCTTAAGTTTCCTTATTTGTGGAGTATGATGTTTAGCCACTGGGAGTTTCCAGGAAGCACGTATCATGTTACATGGTCCCTATGTAGATGTGGTTCCATATGACCATCAATGCACTTGATGCAGCTTATAGGTAATGTTTACTTTCTACTTATAGATGAGACCCAGGGAGGCAAAGGAGCACTTGCCTAAGGTCACTGAGGTGATATGTGGCCCAGCCGGGAGAGAACTACAGGGTTATACTCTCTGGCCCCTGCTCATTCCAGGCCACCCTGAAGCTGCTTCCAGGACTGAAATGCAGAGGTTTTATAGCAACAAAATCTCAATGGTACCAACTGAATAAAAGTCTAATATCTGAACTTTTGTGTCTGGACAAAATGAACCAACAAGGACCAGGTTATCCTCCCAAGTTAGTTAAAATAATAGAAAAAACATAGGAAACAATGATTTCCTTTACATCAGACAGCAGGCAGCAAGGTCTTTACGTTGCACACTATGAAACACTGATGAGAGAAATCAATAAATGGAGCCATTCACAGACTGGAAGACTGAATATTGTTGAGGTGTCGGTTCCTGCCAAATTGATCTACAGATTCATAGAAATCCCAATCAAAATTCCGTCAAAATTTTTGGTAGAGATGAACAAGTTGTTTCTTAAATTTATATGGGAAGGCAAAGGAAGCAGAATAGCCAAAACAAATTTGAAAATCAAGAACCATCTGGGTGGGAGGAGTCATACTACCTGATTCTAAATCTTGTTATCAACACACAGTTACCAAAACACTGATATCTGAAAAAGAATAAATCTTACATCAATGGAACAAAATAAAGAGTCCAGATCAACTGATTGTCAACATAGGTGCAAAAGCAATTCAACAGAGAAAGCTGAGTTTTTTCCAACAGAATGTTTTGAAATAGCTGGACATCAATACGTAAGAAATCAAACCCAAACAAAACAATC